CCTTAAGTTGTTTACGCATGGTCAGACCGCCGCGGTGATGTACTAAAGATCACGCGATGGCGGCATAACGGGGGGGGGGGGTGGGGGGTGGGGGGTCCTCTACGGTCCCTGTGAGGTCTCTGGTGATCTGGGCTCCAGCTCTAATGGAGAGCTCCTGGAGCGTCGCAGTCTACATCTCAGCTGGTTCTGTTTACGAAAGCCAAACTTAGAGCCTGTGCTCACTTTCGTTTTCAACACGGTGACCGGACGCAGCTCGGCAGTAACTCGCCACGTCATCATGACACCTCCCTCTGTTGCACCAAGGTGCAGTCGCCGTTTCTAAGACGGTTACCGCGTTATCACACTACTGCCAGCATGGTGCGTGTACACGGCACAGGGTGCTAATATTAGGCTGCTCTGCCAGCGCTTCTCCATTCACGTCTTGTAAAAGGGCTCACGCTAGTCTAACCCGGCGCCTCCACTGGATGAGCGGTGCGTAACATGCTGCCGGGAGGGTTTCGGATGTGAAAGACAGCAAAAACGTTCCATGCAGCGAGAAAGGCCGGAGAATAGCAGGACCACGTGTGAGTAACCCTAACCAAGCAGAGACGGCAGCGAGGGCGGAGCTTTCACGGGTAATGACATTACTCTGGAAATCTGGAAATGACTTTTATTTTGAAATAAAGATTTTGTGTTGGACTTCCTGTCTGGCCTGACTCAGTGGACCAGTGGTGGAGCGTCCCTGGGACTGGGAGACCGGGTTCAAATCCCGGTCGGGTCAAACCAAAGACAAAAACGCCTCCACGCTTGACACTCAGCTGTTGGATTGGGGGGGGGGGGGGGGTTCCCGAGCGCAGCCACCGCTCCCCACGGGGATGGGTCTGGTGCAGAGATGAACTTCCCCAGTGTGCGATGATGACTTTAACTTTAAACGCTGTGCTTGGTGCATCTGGAAGCGTAACCCTGAAGAAATAGACCGGAAGCAGAGACGGAGCGTGCTGCGGCCGGTGGGAACGCACCACCTGCTGCCTGCTGCACTTGGTAGAGATTACGCGATGCTTAAGCGTCCGGGAAGGCTCGGTAATGAAAATAATGTCTCTGTAACGTCTTTAGGCAGCGACTGATGCAACAGTATTTACGTGTTAAGAGCTTGGTCGTGTTTTAAGCTGAAGGTGAGGCACGAGCAGTGGTGCCTCAGCAGGAGTTAGCTTTCACACCTCGTTAGTGCTCTCATCTTAACGAGACAGCAGACTCTCCAGTAGCAGCAGGACGTCAGCAGACGTGTCCAACACGCCTCACACCGACATCTCACTCTCCAGTAAAAACAAACTTTCATTCATGCTTTCAGAGGAACGATGGATCAACACAAGCAGAAGGCGTAAACTGTTAATCCCACCGAGAAGCAGAGAGGCGTCTGGAAAACAAACATCCTCAGGAAAACCGATAATTCCCTAAAACTCCAGCTGCAGCAGCAATGAGCGAAGACTCTTTCTACTGTGAGCCTCTCACTCATTTTCTACTTCCATGTGAATTCCTGCGCTGCTCCGGATAACGCTGCCCTGCAGAGTGAGCCGCGTCAGGCCGAGCAGCTCCAGCCCTGCGTGTCGTTCCTGGGAGAGGACCTGGATGAAGGAGAAGGGCGCAGCGGGGTTAGGGTCAGTCACGTTTAGACTAAACGAGCAGGATTTCCGTTGGCTGATGAATGATGTCACTGCTAACCAATCAAAGCTGTCGTCACACAGATGTTTAGATGTGAGGTTAAGGAAACCAGAAACTGGCAAACCTGTGGAGACATTTTGGAAACTCCTTTGCAAACTTGTTAGCCGTCATTGGAGGATCAGTCATGTTCCACACACACACACAAACACACACGCACACACACACACGCGCACACACGCACACACACACTCAAACATGCACACACGCACACATGCACGCACACACACACATACATGCACACACACACACACACATGCACACACACACACACACACACATGCATGCACACACACACACACACACACACACATACATGCACACACACACACACACACACACACTTGGAGAGAGTCTCCTCTCACATGTATGAACACAAACGCCTCCCAGAAAGGCTCCGGTCAGGATTGGAACCAACAACCTCCGGGGACAGCAGCTGTGAGTTTCATGTTTTTCCTTGACGCTAAAATCTGGACCGGCCGATCCAAAACAGTTCAGATGTTTTAATTAGAGACAAAAATGTGTTTATACTAGAAAGATAAGAGACATGTAAATGTTTTTATTACAATATTTGTGTACTTCCTGATATGCTGTTGATACATTTTATTGTGATGTAACCTGATACTTTTACTCAGTAACTTAATGATTTAAGTAGTTTTGCTCCATCGCTGGTTTAGTTGAACATCTTCCAGGAGAAATGTCAAATAAACCGACATCAGAGTTCTGTGTCTGCGTGTGTGTGTGTGTGTCTGTGTGTGTGTGTCTGTGTGTGTGTGTCTGTGTGTGTGTGTGTGTGTCTGCGTGTGTGTGTGTGTGTCTGTGTGTGTGTGTCTGCGTGTGTGTGTGTGTGTCTGTGTGTGTGTGTGTGTGTCTGCGTGTGTGTGTGTGTGTCTGCGTGTGTGTTAGGGTTGTCACGGTAACCGGTGTAGCGGTAAACCCCGGTAAAAAAGTTGACAATAATAATAACCGTCTTGTTTTTTTAAAACATATATTATCTCGGTGGATTACCGTGGCTGCGGTGTAGGCGCGGTGACCCTTACCAGCCACCGTATCATCTGCTGAAGTTGCCGGCGGCACATGCGCACTTTGTTGTTTACAACCAAAACTTTCTTGAAGCTAAAGCTGAAATAATGGCCAAAGGAGGAGACGGCAGCGCTCAGGACATTTATTATCCCTCAAAGAAGACAAAGTGGGAAGTACGGGCATGTTTTGGATATTTGAAGAATGCCGAGGGACAGCTGATAGAAGACGGCTATCCTGTTTGCAGCACGAGCAGAAAAAGTGTCTGTGAAAGGCAGCAACGCTTCAAATCTCATGACACATCTGCGTGACCATCACCCACAACTCTACAGTCAACGCAAGGCAAGCTAACGTTAGCGCTTTAGCTAAAATGCGTGATCCGAGGATTTGGGTTGAGGGAGAATGCAACGAGTCGCTATATAAAGCAGCCGCAGCGCCTCTACCTGCATATAAACCGTGTCGCGGACACCGCCATGTTGAAATGATGCTATGCATTACGGGGCTCCCAGGGGCAGATAAGAGTTGGTCTCTCTCCGAGAATAATTATGAATTTAACAACGATTACTGCCTGATGACATTTTCCCACATCTGCAAAGCTCACTGGAAGGACACAAACCGAGGACGATATTTTCCTGATATAGGGTTTATTACTCAAGTAAGGGTAAAAAAGTATCTGATTAGAAGGCTACTTGAGTACTGAGTATCATCTGGTCTAATATTTTTAAAATGATGACATCAAACAGACATAAAATAAGAAGTTATGGGCAAATATTGGTATTTTAAAGACTAAAGGGGGAAAATGTAAACAAATAAACAACATAATTACAAAATAACAGATTTTAGGCAAAATTTAGACACAAACTGAGGACAATATTTTCCTGATATACAGGGTTTATTTAGTGGTCTGAAAATGTAGCACGTTAAAAAAATACAGCGATAATACCGAAAACCGTGGTAATTTTGGTCACAATAACCGTGAGGTTAAATTTTCACACCGTGACAACCCTAGCGTGTGTGTGTGTGTGTGTGTGCGTGTCTGTCTGCGTGTGTGTGTGTGTGAGCGCGCGTGTGTGTGTGTAGGTGTGTGTGTGTGTGTTCACCTCGCTGTTTTACTACCCTTTGAATGTCAGTGCTGTTTCCATGGCAACGCTGACCCCTGGTATTATTTTTTTCACACAAGTAGCCTCTTTAGGATTCCTCTCTCTCCGTCTCACCCGTCCTTCCCTCCCACTCTGTTCACCTCCTCGTCTCGTTTAGTCACCAAAGGGATGAAAACTCCTCTTGGGTCATTAACTGCCGTATTGCACCATCCTTTTATTTCTGTTTCTCCTTCAAGAGGTTGTTCATCTGTACACACACACACACACACACACACACACACACACACCTATATACACACCTACACACACACACACACACCTATATTCACATCTACACACACACACACCTATATTCACACCTATATACACACCTACACACACACACACACACACACACACACCTACACACACACACACACACACACACACACCTATATACACACCTACACACACACACACACACACACACACACACACACACACACCTATATACACACCTACACACACCTATATACACACCTATACACACACACACACACATCTACACATACACACCCACACACACACACACACACACACATCTACACACACACACACCTATATGCACACCTATACACACACACACACACACCTATATGCACACCTATACACACACACACACACACACACACCTATATGCACACCTATATACACACCTACACACACACACATCTACACATACACACCCACACACACACACACACACACACACACACCTATATACACACACACACACACACCTATATACACACCTACACACACACACACACACACACACACACACACCTATATACACACACACACACATCTACACATACACACCTACACACACACACACACCTATATACACACCTACACACACCTGTACACACCTACACACACACAAACACACACACCTATATACACACCTACACACACACACACACCTGTACACACACACAAACACACACACGTCCTCCTCGCTCTCACTCGGAGACATGCTTCACTAGGCATGTCGTCTCCTTGCTGCTGTCCTTCTGGAGGACGCCTGAAGGACAGCTCAGGCTGTGGGACGGAGACGCTCTCAGCAGCTGTCAGCAGGACTCTGTTGGGTTTTTAACGGCTGAACTCGTCTGTAACCGGGACCTCTGTGTTCTTCTCCTCCAGGCCAAGCTGATCGTCCCCAACAGCACAGCTGGTCTAATCATCGGCAAAGGCGGAGCTACGGTCAAGGCGGTGATGGAGCAGTCCGGCGCATGGGTCCAGCTGTCCCAGAAGCCCGAGGGCATCAACCTGCAGGAGCGTGTGGTCACCATCAGTGGTGAGCCTGAACAGAACCGCAAAGCTGTGGAGATCATCGTTCAGAAGATCCAGGAGGACCCTCAGAGCTCCTCCTGCCTGAACATCTCCTACTCCAACGTCACGGGGCCTGTCGCCAACTCCAACCCCACCGGCTCTCCCTACGCCAACTCCACTGAGGTCATGCCAGCAGCAGCGGCTGCTGCGGCGGCGACGGCCTCCTCCCTGCTCGGCCAGGCGGGTCTGGCCGGAGTCGGCGCCTTCCCAACCACCATGTCCAGCTTCTCAGGCAACGACCTGCTGGCCATCACCTCGGCTCTCAACACCCTGGCCAGCTACGGCTACAACACCAACTCTCTGGGCCTGGGGCTGAACCCTGCAGCAGCTTCAGGTGTGTTAGCCGCTGTGGCTGCTAACGCTAACCCAGCAGCGGCTGCCGCAGCTAATTTATTAGCGTCCTACGCCAGCGACGCATCCACCAGCACGGCTCACCCCGCTGCCAGCCTTGGAGGCCTCTCTCTGGGATCCCTGGCTGCTGCTACAGGAGCCACCAACGGCTACTTGAGCGCCGCTTCCCCCCTGGTGGCGTCGTCTCTGCTAGCAACAGAGAAGCTAGCAGAAGGAGCAAAGGAAGTGGTTGAGATCGCCGTGCCAGAGAATCTTGTGGGTGCCATCCTGGGGAAAGGAGGGAAGACGCTAGTGGAGTACCAAGAGCTGACAGGTGCCCGGATCCAGATCTCCAAGAAAGGCGAGTTCATCCCGGGAACTCGGAACAGGAAGGTGACCATCACGGGTTCTCAGGCCGCCACGCAGGCTGCCCAGTACCTGATCAGCCAGAGGATCACCTATGAGCAGGGCGTTCGCGCCACCAACCCACAGAAGGTGGGCTAAACCTGACAGCCAATGAGAAACGAGGAGGAAAAGAGAACGGGGCTTGGGGGAGGAGAATTTAAAAAGCGAGAGTGAGAATGGAAAAAGGAGAGGAGAGCAAGAGTCGGAAGGAATCGTTTTCAGTATTACGAAAGTTTGAGACAAAATGCAAAAACGTGGTGAGGAGACGCGGCGGGAGCGGAGCGGAGCGCCGACAACCAAGAAGATGTGTAAAATGTAAATACGGTTTTATTACGTAACCTTTCGACCTTTTGGGGTTTTTATTGTTTTGTTTTGGTTTCGTTCAGTAAATTAAGCTGTTTGTGTGTCGTGTGGTCAGCTGAATGCCATGGCAACGGGGGTGGGGGGGAGGGGCACGGAGAGGGGGGGAGGCCTGGTGTTTACAGGGTACCGCCTCCTCCCCCCTCCACACCCTAATCCTGCCCCCCCCCATACCCTCCAGTAGGGGTTTTGTTTCTGTTCTAGATTTGCCCCGTCGCTCCCATCAAATACCCCGTCCCCACCCCTTTGCCCCGCCCCCTCCCCTTTAACAAGTGTGTGAGAGAACACGCGACCCCCCCCCCCCCCTCCCCCTCAGGTCCAAGGGGTGAGGTGAATCTGCTGGGAGGGGGGTAGCAGCGCCCTCCACGTGAGTCTCTGGAGCCTCCGAGTGAATGTGGAGGCGCACGCTGATGACCTCACTAACCTAGACTGGATCTGGCGTAATGTTAGGGTGATGTTGACGTTAGGATCCGTCACCATGGTGACGATTTATCAATGACATCACCCGATGAAGCTTCAGGTCCATGTGAATGTAAGAGACGTTTATTTGTTTTAATGTAAAGTGGACTGAGATGAATTAATGTCACACAGTGTAATATATGTCTTATTTAAGTCCCGCCCCCTGCTAGGGTCGTTACAGGTGAGGTGGTGTCTCCGGTCAGAGAGCCGAACACACACACACACACACACACACACCACATCTGGTGCTACAAACGCAGATTCTGACGCAGACGTTTGGGTTTAGCACCAAACCGCTGCAGCGCCGCTCTACTAACCGTAAACAGCTGAGCTACTAACGCCGCAGGCCAGCGCTGCCGTCTGCGTCTCCTCGTCACAACCGTTGCAGCTTGAGAGTAAGAGTGCAACTAAAACGAATCATTTAGCCGAGCCCGGACTCCGCTGCCCAGCCGGTGGTCTTCCAAACCTGCAGATTAACACAAACCAGTGGCCAGATCAAGTCGAAGCACTTAACTACTGAGACGGGAACGCCGGGAGTGAGCGGACTGAAGCGGGATGAGGGAGCGCCGGGAGTCTGGCTGCTGGGCAGCGTGCATATCAGTAAAGCAGCTCGCTGGTCCCCGTCCAGCTGCCAGAAGGTAGATGACAGGTGTGTCATCACACGTCCAGAGAGCCTCTGGAGAACTGCGGGTTGCCCTCGGCAACAGGTTTACTGCCCACTGTAGACCCACAAGGCTGCTGAAGATGTTCCTGTGTTGTTTTTGTTTGTTATGTTTTCATTTGTTTTGTATTTTTAACAATCACTGAATTTTTTTGTCTTACTGCACTGTGAAGCTGGACAGCAGTCGTCCCGACCTGCGAGGTCAGGGACGTGCGCCGTGGACGGCGCCGCGACCGGACGGCTTCTGTACGTCAGGGAAAACACGCATATATGAGATATATGTAGATTGCATATGAAGAACTTTACTGGAAAGCATTTCCTGTTTAAATAAGAGATTAGAAGTCTGGATCCGGCTGTGTTCCGCCGCCCGATCCCTTCGAGCTGGAGTGCAGACGCTGAAATGAGGAGGGGGTGCGTTTGATTCTTTTGTTTTCACGGTGAGGGGCGGGAACTCAAGTCCCCCTTCAGAAACGACAGAACAGGCTTTGTGGACCTCTAGAATCAGGACTGATGTGTTTGTGACCGCTGGAGCGCCGGTGAGGGTTTATCTCTGCAGCTTGGTAAGGAGGCTTCTTTACTCCCATCTAACACCATCCTCACCTCCCACCCAGTTTTCCAGCGCACTCCCATCCCGACACCCCTCTCCCCCTAACACATCTCTCCATGGGTGACCATGTCTAATGTTACGATCGATGCATGTCTGCTGCTTGCCCCGGCAACCGCTACAGGCTGGGTCCTCTCCTCTGAGGCCAGCGCACCTGCAGAGGGAGGCCAGCGCCCGCAGTCACAGACCACTCCTTCATTTGGAAGCTGTTGTTGCACAAACACACATCAGAGGGGATCTTCTGACTGGATTCTGTGGGAGAAAACAAACGGGAGGATAGTTTTCTCCTGTTGTCTAAACGCTTTGCTGCAGGCGTTTAGCAGGAAGAGCCGGGCGTTTGCTGCAGAGTCGCCGAGTTTCCAGACTGAAGGGAGACATTTACGCTTTTATTTGACTTTTAGCTCAAACTGTTGATGCATAAAAGATGTCCGGTGTTTAGCGACAGGAAGCAGACGGACGCTTGCAGCTCAGGGCGGGAGGTTTGCAGAGCTCTTTCGTGTTTTTTATCTCTCGTTGATCAAAAGTTGAAATGATTCCTTTTCCTCCGCAGCCGCTCTTCACTTATCTAAACGCTAGGAATAAAATGTGACAAGTACTGGAAGCAATACGTGTAGTGGCATATCGTGTGGTCCCGCCTGCTCGTGTGTCTGTGGCAGGAGCGTCGGGATCTAGATGCTGGGTAGGTTTACACGACCGCATCCTTTTCTAAATTGCTGCTATTTAATAATGAACCCAGGAGGAGTTGAAACATATCTGCGCTTCAGCTGCTGAAGCTGGAAGTGCTGCTCGGTTAGAAGCTGATGCGTTCAAAGAGAAGCTCATTCTTACCTGAAGAAGTGAACCGTGTGCCAAAATACGTCCCAGTCGAACCCTGAAAGCGTTCAGGCAGCGTTAGACAAGAAATCTACTTTTATATTAAGAAAATGTGAAAAGTGCCAAATGAACCACGTTCTGATGAGACGAAGAAGCACCTGAGAACCCGTTTGTGTTCCCGCCCTGACGGAGGGGCCGCCATCTTGGTGTTAGCCAGCGCGCTGGCATGCAACAGCACTACCACTCTGGGGTTAGCCTAATAGCATAGCGATAGCTTAGCATAACAATGCTAAGGACCATGTGACTAGGTAGGATTCTTAAACAGCGCCTTTTATAGCTACAATAAAAGTGTATTTTGTGGAAATAGATGTTATCTTTTTTGCACGTCTATATTGCATGAGATCAAAGTGAAGCGTGAAAAAACAAAAAATCTAAGAAAAAAGTGAATAAAAACAAAAAAAGGCTTCGTGTGTTCTGAAGCAGTCTGCATGCTGAGGAGGGTCGAGCGTTCCTGGCGTTCGTCAGAGGAGCGCGAACAAACCCGAGGCCGTGCCGAGCCGAGCCGGCGTGGACGGCAGAACAAAACGTCTGAGCGTCTTTTAGGGTTTAGCGGGAGGTGGTCTGAATGTACTCATCTCACTGGTTTACGTGTCACCCGTTAGACGTGCAGTACAGGTGTGTGTTTTTGTACTTTAGCATCACACACACACTCTTTTCTCTCTGGCTTGTCTTGTTGCTGTTATGCACCTTATTGACCTCAAACATGGCGTCTCAGGCCCCGCCCACTGTGTTGTAATTGGTCAGGAGGAACTCACACACATGAAGTCTGGCTCCAGAGCTTGATCTGAGGCTCCGCCCCTGATTTGGACCCATCGAACGTTTCGATTCACCCGTTTCCCTCTGGTGTGAGAGAGGTTCTCCTCCCGGTTGGGTTCTGCGTCCCGACCCAACCCGGAGAATCCTTCCATTCCCGCTCTGAGTTTGCACTAAACTTCCTGCTGATGCCGTGTACGGCGGGCCGGGCCGAGCTGGGTCGGGACCGAGTGCCAGACTACTGTAGCTTTCTGTTGGTGTTTCCTGTATCTAGATGTGCATGCTCCCGTCCTTCTGGGTGTGTCTGCTGTAGACAGCTAGTCGTGTTGTCCTCCATGTTGTTATTATTTACCTGTGGTGTGTAGACGAACCTAACCCCCACCTGCTCTCCAGGTGCCCTCATTGCTTCTCAGTGGGTGTGTGGCTCTTGTTTTCCTCCACCTACCTCCACTAACCCGCCCTCACCCACACCCACCACCTCATCAGGACCGCCCCCCCCCCCCCTTGAACTCGGGCCCCATCGCAGCACCAGCAACTGTTAGACTGCATTTGTCACATCACTGTTTTTCTGTTTGTTTATTTTCCTGCTTTGATTTGTATTGTATGCTCTAACCCGAACCAGTTCTAACCAAATGCCATTTCTGTGTAGCCCTGTTTACCTTTCCTGCACACACACACACACACACACACACACACACACACACACACTTCCTCCGCCTCCCACGAGTCTCTTTGCTCGAGTGCCAAAATAAAAGCAGAGAGGAAACAAACACAAACAACAACAACGACTACTATCATTCCAAGCGTTTCTTTCCGTTGTTCTTGTGTGTCGGACATCCATCCTGGAAGCACCCATGAAGCCAGCATGCTCCGCCCTCATAACATGATGTCGCTCATGACGCCTCAACTGAACAGCACCTTTGCCCACCACCACCTTCTCTCCTCCTCCTCCTCCTCCTCCTCCTCACCACCCCCACAGAGCTAAACCCGACCAGGATTAACCCTCTGCAGGTGGGCTACCTACCTACTGTCCTGCTCTGCCCACCTAGAAACAACCGTCCCACCGCTCATGCCAGCTGCTTCTTTTAATTCTGTCATTCTTCAGCCTGTTGGACTTCATTGATTGTGTGCCATAGTGTTGGGGGCACCTTCCACTCTCCTCACCTCCCGCCTCTCTCTGTACCCCACCTCCTCTCTGTAACCCCTCCTCCTCTCGCTCTCGCTCCATTTGATTTTTCTCAGTGGGAAAGATTCAAAAACTCCATTTTTTCTAACGATGATTTTTTCTGTTGTCCTTTAACATCCAAACCACGCACGGCGACACGTGCTCCGCCCCCCAGGCCGCGGTGTGGGGAGCGTTTACGCATCGTCAGCTGCGCAGCCATCCTCTGTCTTCTTGAACTTTATGAACTTTCACCTCTCATGAACTTTATTGACCTTCTTCCTCTCCTCCTCCTCCTCCCTCCCTCCCTCTGTGTTCATCCAGCTGTTTTGGACGATAACTCCATTCCATCCCAAACCTCTGAGACTGTGCAATGCTAGCCGACACGATTGGATTCTTTTGTTTGTTGCTCATCGGTGATGATCGTTCTCTGCGATAGAAGTTAAAAAACAAATAAACGTGAAAAAAAATCCTAAAAGAAACGCAGACAAACAAAAAAGGAGAAAAACACCAAGCAACTGTTCTTCATGATATCATTTTTCTCTCATTGTAAATATTTCTGTCAGAGTTTTGCTGTGAAGAGGAGTGTTGGGCAGAGCGGGGCCGGCAGCATAAAGAGGGACTTGTGGACTCGTCCTCCAGCCCGAGTCAGGAAAGCAAACACTAAAGCGGCGCCTGATGCTAGTCCTGCTCTTAGTGCTGTTGTCACTCGTGTTGAGTTCCCGTCGCCGTTTAGCTGCTCCTCTACTAACCCCGAGGAGCAGCCCGAGCCGTTCTCAGCTTGTTTTTGTGCATTTGTTGGTGTTTCCTAGCCGTGCGTCGTAGGCAGTACCCGGTGGTAGCTTTAGTGTTAGACACATATCGTCGTGGGATCAGCTAGCCCCAGGAGCCGGGGTTCACGCGAGAAGGCGCTTGTGCAATACAGTCCAAGTTTACATCAGAGTAACACACCTCTGCAGGTGTGGCCCCTCCCCCTGCAGAGCCACGTGCTCCGCCTCCACACCCGAGACTCTGGAAGTATTTAAGATGGGACTCCACCGTTTCGTGGCGCTGCTCTCAGCTCCACTCCTGGTTTATGCTGCCCGGCCCATCGCCCTGGCAACACCGGGAGCTATTTATTTCTCAGACTATTAAACATCACAGCAAGCAAAAGGGAATGACTGGAAACAAGGTGAATTCATATTGTTTTGTTTTATTTGTAGTATTTTAGTGGTTGCTTTAACAACATTCATTAACTGACTTAAAGATTATTGAATATTTAATGTAACTGTAGCATTGTGTTTGTAAAGAGAAACTAGTGAGTTGTGTTTCTTGACTTGTGGATTACCAGTGAAGTGGGCAGTCTAGTGCTAATCGATATATAAGGTCTTTTCTAAGGATTCTTATTTTGCAGCAGCAACAGCAGTCATTATAAATGTTCATTTTAGCATCACCTGTCTTCCGTTGTCTTATTCTTCACCTTCCACCACACTCTGCATCATCACAGTAACACATCGCAAGTCTGGGGTGGGACCGTGTGTGTGTGTGTGTGTGTGTGTGATCTTATGATTGCATGCTAAAGAACAAATGTGTGTTTATTTGTGTGTCTATGCAAATGTGTGGGGTGCATGTGAGCTGCTCTGCTAACTGCCTGTAGAAGTTGTGTGTGTGTGTGTGTGTGTGTGTGTGTGTGTGTGTGTGTGTGTGTGTGCGTGTGTGTGTGTGTGTGTGTGCGTGTGCTGACTCGGGGTCTGGGGTGGGTGTTCTGTCCAGTGTCCACCAAAGCTAAAACCTGTCAGGCTTCCATACTTCCTGATGGAACTTCCTGACGTTATAGCTGCAAACCCTCATCATGTGATCTGACTCAGCTCGACTGTCCATAACCCCTCCAGTCACCTGACCAACCAAATCAACCAATCACTGTCCACCACTATCCCCTCCCCGCGCCATCCTCTGCTGCACACCACGCCAGTCCCATGTGATGTTCTCCATCGATAACATACTACTGTCACGATCTACCGTCACATACTCACAGGTCTGGGGACGAATAACTGGAAATTCCTTCTTTTGGTTGATTTTGTGGCTCTTAGATCAAACCAGCTCCTTTACTCCAAACAAGTGCACCTTGTGTTGAATTCTTAAAGTTTCCTGAAGCTTCGACGCGTCTGTCTCTTAGATTTCTGCTCCCAACCCACGAAGGTCGAGGCTTTAGTTTGTGATGGTGGCCTTCCAGAAGCTGTTGCTCTGGAAAAACCACTCACAGCTTTCCACTGGAACTATCTTCACTCTCGAACGTAGACGTAGTTGTTGTGCAACAAACGTAAACGTGCCCTTCATGGAGGAGGGTGGTGGAAATGTAAGAGACGGAGGAGCCACACCTCTTTTGAAATAACTGGAGGTTTTCTTTATTTTCATTGTTTAAATTCAGATTTTCTTCCAATCTACTTCCCCCCAGAGCTGCATCCCACCTTCTGCTGATCATACTACTGTATACATGCTGCATACTACCTTTACCAGGTCAGAATCCACCTTAACCTGTTTCCATGCCAACCACAGACGAGTCAGTTGCATGGCAACCAGCTTCCGCCACATCAACCCAACCTACCGATCCGCCATGCTCTCCAAACGACAAGGCCACGCCCACCTGAATACGACCGCTTCTTAGAAGAAGAAATAGAGGAAAAAGAAAGGATAGGTTGGATGGAGGACGGATGAAAAGAGACGTAGTTGTGATTCTCAGGGTGTCTTCTGTAGATTTACTGTTCAGTCTGTTCTCCGGTGTCTCGCTGGTGTCTTGTTGCCCAAACTGAGCCCAAAGATGATCATCTGAGAAATTCTTTGTATTTCCTGATTGACTGACCAATTCTTCTCGATCAGTTGATTGATAATGTCGATTGACCAATTCTCTTGAGAGATGGTACACAGCCAGCTGACCCAGGCTCGGCACCGTAACTGATGTTTACAACCCAAACGAGACCAACAACGCTGTTGAAAGAATGTCTAGGACTTAAAAAAGAGACAAATCTCAGAAGAGTACTTATTTCTAAATGGTCGAACCTTTCGCTTACTTTCTATGTGACATGAGGTAATGTAATTTTCAGTCATTGCATGTGACTATTTTATTTGCAATGGAACTGTTGGAGTGGATGGTACATCTGTGACGTCAGTGCAACGTCGACACGCCGACGCGAGGACTCGGCCGGTGTCTGACGCGTGTTTTTCTGTCGCTGTGAGGAGTGCTTTTGGACCAATGAATGCTAAATGTGTGACCATACAAAGCTGTAAAGTTTTGTTTATTTGTACATGGTTATGGGTAAAATAAACCATTCAAGCAAACGAAAGCTTTAGTCTGAAGGAGCAAGCCCTCACACGTGTGTAAAGGAAGTGCTCTGAGAGCTTTGGATAGCGCGGTAGTCGCTGTTCAGAGGTAAGTCTAACAGTTGGAGTTGATCCAACATGGCGCCGGTTCTGAGAGAGGGCTTGGCTGCCATGATAGAGACAGAGAGATCAGGGTTTGATCACCCTTTGCTTTATGACAGCCATCCCAGTCGAGAAGAGGCAAGGTTCAACCCTCTGACATATCCATCTACCCACAATCCTCTTGTGCACCAGAGTCATCCGATCAACACCTGCACCTTTGCATCCACCATGATTCCACAGTCAGCTCCTGTGACCTCCGGCCAAACCGACCCAGCTCCCTCCATGCCATCGGCTAAGCGGCTTATTGAGCTGTTGTTGCAATGCCTCCTGGGAAATGGAGTCACAGTTCACAGCATGGTTCGACCAACCACTCTTCACTCTCCTTCCACATACCTTTCTCCATACGCCACTAAAGAAGTTCCTCCAGCTTCCAGCGAGAAGACGACAGCTGCTTGTGTAGTTACGGAGAGCTTTGGTCCCGGTGGTTTGGGTCGCTGCAGAGCTAAACGGGTTGCCCAGGCAGCTAAAAGGCAAACAAACGGGGAGAAAACGGTTTCAGGCGAAGCTGCGCTGAGATGTTTACCCTTTGTTGCTCTACCAAACACCAAAGGGACAATCACAAACCTGGTTTTGAAGAGCTCAGCACTCGAGCACAGAGCCAAAGAATCAATGTTTTCTGAGTAAAGCGTGACGGAGCGATTCCAGGCAGCAGAAACACGAGAAACGACCAGAGAATGAAGGAGACTGTATCGCGTACGTGTGAGTAGAAATGAAACCGTATTCTGAAAGAAACATCTCTGAGTTAACGTCTTCTACGGGACGGGGTTGGCGTGTGCACCACAGATATCTTTGAACTCATTTGTTTGATGAACTTTGGGTAAAACTTAGATTTGAAGACAGCTGAGTGGACAACGTTAAGATTGTAAAGAGTCTGGAGCTGACTCTGGTTCAGGAACGGAATCAGCTGTTGCTATAGCAACATTTTAGCCTCCGGATATCAGCCGATGGCTGACCGTGACCTCTAGACAGCAGCATCGGTAACAGAAAAGCCCGTCTGGTGGAGAATTAGGCTTTCACATCGAGCCAGTTTAATTTCACAAATCCATAAAATAAATCTGATGTCATAACAACATTAAATAATAAATATATTTATACATATTTAAACTGTTCCATAAATAAAACGACCATCGGGGAAATAATCACAGTTATGTGGAGGTCTGATTGGTCCCTGTTAGGTGACTAATTTAAACGTGACCACCGTCAGACTCGGGGTGTTGCTCGGTGTCGAGGCGCCTTGCTTACGAGGACACCGTCCTTCCTTGGTCAAAGAAAACGGTTAAATGGAACAGAGTTACATCACATGACCGCGGCTTCCACGGCGGTCACGTAACGTCACGTGACACGGGAGATAACGTTATATTTTACACGTATTAGTTTCAATAAAAATATATAACGAGCCTTTTACTTTTTAAATGTTGTATTTGTTTATTAAATTAAATATATAAGTGAGTTACGACCCGCTAGCCACCGAAGCGTCACGACGGGACTGTTGTCCACCTAAAGGTCACTTCCTCTCTCCTCATGAAGAACTAATCTCCTAGAGATATGGCTCGAGGCCTTTGATGCCTCTGCATCTGAACTGTTTCAATGAGCTGTTTGCCTTCCCTACGGCTCAAGAGAAGACCAAGAAGAACTCTTTTAGAAATCAGAAGAACTCTATTAAATAATAACAAAATAACGTCTGTTAGTCCGATAATCATGTGAGCCCAACGTAAATCAGTCTGTGAAATGACGATATACCTGAATTATACTGTAATCAGTGGTATTTGTATAAGAATGAACTTGGTACAGATGCACTAGACATTCCTATGACACAAGTAATGTTAAGATCACATGACCCATTCCTTTTGTCTCTCCAATCAGAGCTTTCCTTTCTGACGCGTGGCGTGGTCTGTGCGGCGTTTACACAAACCCCTTTTGGTCGTCAAATCCTGACTCGACCATGAATCAAAACATCTGAATTATAAAACTAATTCCCACGTCACCCTTGACTCAGTGTTCAAACGTTCGAGGGTTTCGAGCCGACCTCGCCTAACTTTTTAACCACAAAGAAGATAACTTCCTTGGATCTAAAAAAAAACGTTTTAAATTAGCCGACTTACTTTTAAACTTGAAAATTGTCCCTGAAGTAGCTGCCGGCTCCTGATCTGCCGTCTTTTTGAAAATACCGCGGTGTGTTGTGGGTAATTTTTTATCAAGGCTAGGCTACAAGACACCTCCTGAGTGTCCTTGCTCAGCTAGCTAAACGGCTAGCAAACGTAGAACATGAACATTGGAACACGTCTCGCGTCTCCCGATGACGTATCTCCTAGGCAACCGGGGTGGGGCCAAGACACAAGGTTCCTTGGCATTGAGAAACACCCTCATAGTCTGGAGAAACACACACACACACACTGCATGGCGTGCGATGAGAGCTGACTAAATTGTGACCGACTGGCGATGACCGACTCGCTTGTTTTTGTGGTTTGTGCCTAGTCTTCACAGATCTGACGTAAACAGCTGGCTTACAGCTACCTGTGTGCTTGCATGGTTTAGGAAAGGGTCACCTGGCCTACTTTGGGAATGTTGCCTTATCCCTAATTTCTTCTCCTATCCTAAAATTCCTAAAAGGGGTCTTGATCCATAGTTTCTGGGATTGCGGAGGTGTGGCTGCTTAATGGTGCCTTTACTGTCTGAATTATTCCCGTTAAAAACACAAACTCACCCGTAGGACGCTCCTGAGGTCGGATACGTGACGCTACCACGTCAGCCAGCTGCTTCGGCGGCAGCTACAGCTAACTGAATCTGAGCTTTCGCCATGAAGGATTAGTAATCTAGATTACGCTTCATGGATGTTTGGTTTACTCAGAAAAGGCTGATTTAGCTCCGGCAGAACCAGCAGGATGATTTCTGACCCCACAGCAGTTCTTCCTCCAAACAGCGTCTTTATTTAGTGTGAGAGCCGCTCTCGTGTTTCCTGCCTTCCTCGTCTGAACTGAACTTACGGTGCCTTAGATCAACCCGCTGAGGGCTTGTCAGACCTTTGAGGATTCAGGAGGTAAGTCACTCTGCTCGGTGATCATCTGCAGCTCCTTTTTATTTACTATCAGCCACCAAACAGCTCCCTAAAGCCGCCAGATGTTTCTGGGTCTCTCTGCCCTACTTTGGTTTGGAGGAGTAAAGTCGGTCCGCGAGCCCCAGAGGAGCCCGTCAGACAGCTCCTGTGATGAACTAGCGGTGCTGCTTCAGGTCCGCTCTCCGTATCTGGAACACCGAGTGAATGTAGGCCACCCGGATGTCATCCACACCCCCGCTGCTGAACTTCAAATAGTTCCATTCCCTCCCAAAAGAAGCAAAGCCGTTAAATTATTCACATCGCTAAACTTCCTGCCAAACAAAGGGTTCAATAATCTGATGCCTAGAAATAGATCCAATGAAGCCCAGAGAAGAAAATCCCGGGAAGTTTCTGGGAAGTTTCCTGGAAGGATGAAGATAAATGTCTAAGCAACGCGACTTTAAGTAGCTTTTTGAACACAAACCACTTTTTTCCACATGTAGAAAACTGTAGAAATAAATCTAAATGTGTATTTTTCTATTTCAGATCATTTAGATGAGTAATAAAAGTCCTGCTTTAAAGCCGGCGTGAAGCCCGGGCGGGTCTCTGTGAGGAGCTGCAGCTAACGCCCGAGTCCACTCACACGCAGGGGCGATGTGGGCGGGGCTTCTGAAACATCTGTTTCATTTTTAGAGAAAAACATTGAACTTAGTGAAATTTCCCTTTAAATATTTGCTGTAAATGTTTTATTTTTGAAAAGATGCAGCAGATTTAAAAAGAAACTGCAGAAAAACGTCCAAGCTGAATATTAAAACTTCAAGATTAAATAAATAAATCAGCTTTTTACTAATGATTCATTCTAAAGAACTTCTAAACATCTTTTTATGGAAAATAAAACCAGTTTTAAATATTTTAAGAAGAACTCTTTTCCAGGATGTTGGTTTTTATGAACTTTATAAAAACCAGAATAAAGATTCAAAGATGAACTTATGATTAACTTGCCGCTGAACTCATTCATCATCAAAGCTGTTTTTTCTGTCCACTCTAAATCAGCGCTCTTATTCTGGCAGCTTCTAAATAAATCAATGTCTTTTGATTTATTACATAAAAGCTGTGATTGAAAGCAACGCTGCAGCTGTGTGATTTATTTCATGGATTTTGTGCTGCGTGATGTCTTCTGCAACATTTGCAGCTGTTTGTTTCTTTCTGTGGCCTAAAAGCTTTAATAAACACGTTTTTACAGCAACAACGGGAGCATACGAGTCGAGTGGTGTCTCAGGAGGGTTCTGAAACCAGGACCCGGTTCTGGATAATTAATACCAAAGTCCCTAAAGCCTGAGGAAGGTGGTCCCGTGTTTTGTTGTGGAGGTCTGGCTCCAGGAGGAGAGCCAAGTCCAGGTTGGGAATGAGCTTCTGTTCTTGGAGGTTCGGGGTGGAAGATGTGGAAGGATCCCGACACGGACGTTGTCCCCATCTGAGCAAAAGTGGAACTTTTCATCTGAATCAGAATCAACTTTACTGTCGGCGCCCCAGCATCCTGAAGCGTAAACTGCCCGCCCAGGTTACACACACACACACACACACACACACACACACACACACACACACACACACACACACACACACACACACAACTAAAAGCAGACGATGGATGGATAAAAGGTTCTTTTTGGGCTCTTTTTCTTATTTCTAACCACTCCTGGAGCTGGTTGTGAGTTTCACCTCAGAAAGGCAAAACACATGACATCCATCCCATAATTGTTTACATTCTTTGACTCTAAAAATCTGTACATGGGTTGAAAACATCTCATTTTATTCAACAAATCC